AATGTCATAGTTATAATGCAAGTAAACCGGATATTTGTCTTTTTGTCAGATTTGTTAAATGCATGTAGAATAATATTTTTCAAAGTATTCTGATTGAAGTTTGTGATATTCAACAATAAAAAGTTGGTAATATGCAGAAATGGAGAAAAAAAGATTGCATTATCATCAAGAATGTACAATGAAATTACCACATGCAGGACTGTAGAAAAATTTTCCTTTTTAAAAGAATTATAAAGCCATAGCTTTATAAATCAGTGAAAAGTGGCTTACAGAGAGAACTATCAGATGTGTTTACATAGCATCTTATTCACATCTTTTTAACAGCCCTAAGGCTTTGGTATTGCTATGTTCATATTTACGTATTCCTTATTTATAGCTCTGATAGCTTTAATTTTCTAGGCAGTCTATCAGATGACATATCTGCTATGCCTAGTTGAGTACAGTGGAACCCATCAGTAGTGATGTGTAGTAGTTATGACTTGACATTTCCATTATAATCTTTAATTTTGAATTGTTTATGCATAAACAATTGTTGTATTGGGCTGAAAGTCGACAGGATTTCAGCCACCATTTGTGAGTTGTTATTTAGATTCATTATGTATATCAGAATATTATTTTTTAAAATAAGAGCATGAAAAATATTTCTTGTAATCTGCTCTTTAACAAAGAAGATTTGGGTTTTGCGTGTTTGGTTGGTTTTTTTTTTTTTGAGACAGAGTCTCCCTCTGTCGCCCCCACTAGAGTGCAGTGGCATCAGCCTAGCTCACTGCAACCTCAAACTCTTGGGCTCAAGCCATCCTCCTGCCTCAGCCTCCCGAGTAGCTGGGATACAGGTGTGAGGCACCATGCCCAGCTAATTTTTCTATTTTTTTGTATAGACAGGGTCTCACTCCTGCTTAGACTGGAGATTTAGTTTTTTAAACAGTTTATTGGGCAGTTAATCATGTGAACCAGATCATTTTTGTATTGATTTAAAAATAAAAGTTTTGGAACCTAAGATTTTAAAAGGAATGACAATACTTATCTTAGTATTGTTTGTAGTTTGAATAATTTAAATCTAATGAGAATATTAGGTGAGAATGTTTTTCTTTCTCAGTTTCATACCCTATAAATGAAGGCCTAAAAAAAAATGTATAAAATGAAACACAGACAATGTGCAAAATTCCTATTTACTTTTATTACATAAAAGTAATTTGAGCACTTACCTAATACATCTTGAGTGGTTATTTAATAAATCAATAGACAGGTGGTATGTTTCAACAGGTATTTGATATTTTCTGAAGAAATTAGGATTTCCAGTCATTGAACAAAAACTAAATAATCAAATGTTCTGTATCAAGAATTATAAGCATGGCTTTCTAAAGTCATTTTCTGTCATTATTTTTACCTATAAAGTTTTAACTTATCAAAGTGATGATTCAAAAATTTTAGAAAATTTAGCATAGTATTGATTCTGTTCCTAACAGAATCTCTATGGAATTTTTTTTTGCAAGACTAATATGGATTTAATCTGATTTTATTGTTTCTTAAATTTTAGATTTTGCTAGATACCATGTAAATATAATGGTATAAACATTCACTCTTTAGTAGCATTTTTTTGTTTTTCGGACAAGCTGTAGTGGTTTTAATAAGACTTAGTAATATTTAAATAGCAACCTTCTCTGCTTTTTTAAAAAAAAAATCTAGGCTTTTGGCCAGGCATGGTGGCTCATG